AGGACAAACAGCATGGGTATGCTCATTTATTATGCTGATGGGCCTCTACATTCACCAATGGGCCGTGGATTAAGGACTGTCAAGTTTGAATGTTACTTTTTTATAACTGATTCTGTCTTTTATTAACATGTTTAAGCATATTGGATATGTGTGGGACCAATCAAGTTATTTTTCTTCAGACAGTTTAGACTGTCCAGTGATGAAAAAAAACACACTTTAACCTCAATTCAGTTTAAAAAATGCAGCTTTCACGATGTACTATTTGTGAGTACTTAATAATCATCATCACCATCATCATCTATAGGTGTGTCTATAAATACAAGGACAAAGTGGAAGAACTCCTAATGGGTTTTAAAGTGCTAAGAGTTGGGGGAGGTAAAGAGAAGACTGTGTGAAGCATGACACTCTTACCTGATGGGGTAGTGCTGCCCTGGTTCCGCTCCAGGATCCAGTCCCTCAGAGAGAGTTTGCACAGCTGCATTTGGATGTACAGCATGAGCTGGAGCTGCATCTGCTCAATACAGTGATATGGGTTTCAGGAAAACAGGAATATGATTAGGTACAGTGGTCATTTTAAATGGCCAGATGGGCTTAACATGCTTCTTACAAACATTACAGCAGTAAATCATAAATAATTTCAGCAAAGTTCAATGGGATGCACAATTGTCATAGCATCACAATGAGCGCTGGTAATACCTTTTGGGTACGCTTGTCACTGCACTGGTGACTGTCTGTATCAAAATAAGAGTTGTTTAACTCAAACTTGCTCCTATTTGACTGGCCCTCTGTCAGCGCAGACCCATCCCGATTGGCCACGGGGCAGCCGTTCACCGCTGTTACATGCGGATCCCCCAGAAACACACAAGGCACAAAGTTCTCCATAGTACTCCTGCCTTTGGGGCACACCGCTTCGCTCTGCTCTGGTGTGCTTCCAGGTACACCTTCTGCTGTGCTAGCTTCCTTCAGAGAGTCTTGCATGTTTGCATCTGGGCAGTGGGAGCTTTCAAATACTATAGAGGAGCCATCACTTCTGCAAAAACCAAAGGAACTCATGAGAAACGGTTCTCATGCCTTAGTATTTGTTTTGAAAAAATGCATTTTTAATACAAAAGGCTGCTGATTTAAACAAGTGACATCTGCTTACTCTTTCATTGACGATGGTTTCAGTGCTGGCAAATTAGAAATTACAGATTTTGGGTCTGAAAGAAAAAGTAATGGAAGTATCATGAGTAAGCGGTTAGCACGCATTTGTACACCTTCTCTACTCACTTATGTAGCATAATGATTTATTATTAATGCCGCGACAGAAGTCAGAAAACACCACGGCAATTGAATAGAATAAGCCGAGAATTTCCATAGTAATAAAAATAATGTGCGTTTCTGTTTGAATAAGTACAGCAGCCAAATCTCTTGTGTTGCAAGTTCAAATTACAGATACATATATAGATTTCAAACTGCCCTTAACCCCCAGCTCCCTGGGTGCCCCAACAGGTGGCTGCCCTTTGCGGACAACTTACTCTACAAAGAGCAAGTTGAGGGAGGCGTAAAGACAACTTCCCTACGGGGATCAATAAAGTATCTATTATTATTATTATTATTATTATTATTATTATTAACATGATACAAATTACTGTGTGTGCCGGATGTAAATACAGTAATGAAAAAATAAAATAAAAATGTGTACATGCAGGACGTTTGCTTACTTTCTTCAGAAGACTGCACATGTTCCATCCACGCTGTGTGATAACCCACTATATAAGGATGCTGTACGCTAGACAGCAATTTCACCTCCCTAAGAACCTGCAACAAAACACGGGTACAATGATTCAGTCTGGATGATTACATGCACAAGTTTTGACCATTCAGTTATTCACAAATGTGACTTTCGGCTAGATTTCTGTTTCTGGTACCCGGTTAACATGATGGTATTTGCTCGGAAAGGCTGTCCATCAAAATAAATAAACAAACAAACAAACACAGACACACATACATACCTTTCTACAGTCTTCTCTTGTAACATTCTTTATCAGAATTTTCTTAACTGCATACAACTGGCCATCCAATTTATTCCTCACCTATGGACACAAGACAAACTACTCTTTCCATATCTGCATTTCAAGCACCTACATTTACCATAATAGTCATATCCACAGCACCTGCACTTTATCTGCTACTGACTGTACACGGTCTAGTTTTGTTCTCCCTAATATTGGTTTTGCATTGTCTGTATTGTTCAGCACTGTTAGCCGAACGAAAAAGCATCCCAAAGCACCTGCTGCGCATATCCAACAACGAATTTCGAGTCTTGAGTCGCAAACAACACCGATGACCCAGTAAACTATTGATTTGTCTTTATAAACATTTATCAGATCCATTTTTAAAATATCTGAAAATACAACAGTACCCGAAAAACCTTTCCATACGATCCTTTGCCAAGTCGACATATTTCCTCAAACTCACTGAGGTAGCGAGATGTTTGAGCTTGGAAAAGACCATCTTTTGGTCTAAACAAGAAAACAATACAGAATACACAGCACATTTTAAATTATTTACTTAAATGATTAACCTTTGTGATAATATACACAAATAATACACATATAATTTTACACTTAAGAATAGACCCAGTGACAAATTCATACCATACAGAGCTTGAATATTTTAATACAATAATGCCATAATATCTAGCCACAAAGTTAGTGTTCCTACCTTGTCTTTAGGCTCTGAGTATCTGTATTTAAATACCTATGGTCCTAGACACAAAGAAAAACACTCATTATTTTAGAATGACAATAAAACATCCATTACCCTTTAAATGAGGGACTCCACCTGTAACTGAAACATGCTCTATGGAAAGTGAATTCAAACCAAGCATGCCACATTTATGTACTACCTGTTGGAAGAGGGAAGTGCTGGCCGCATGCAGCAGCTCAGCAAAAGCCCTGTTGTGCTGGAGCCTCACGGTGCTGAACTCATCGCTTACGGCCAGTGGAGAGAGCAGGTTCATCGCTGCCAAGCGCTGTCCAATCACTGAGTGAGCAGGCAAAGTATTGCAGCAGAAATGACAGATATCATATCAGGTCATGTATTACTGCTGCGTTCATGAGCATATAGATAATGCACCCTCAAGAAAAAAAATTTCTAAAGGGATACAAACCTTTGAAAAGCATACGTGATCGCTGCTGATCTTTCTCATAGACAAAACACAAGTGCTCTAGGAGGGAACCTAACAGCAGGTGGTTGGGAATTGCGGAGGCGAAATCCTGGATGGACGGGTACTGTTTACCAGAAATGAGCACCTCGCCATTTTCAGCAGAGTCCGAAGCTACATTTAAAAGAAGCACAAGAGGAATGTCATTTAGTTACATGAAAGAAGATTCAAACTCACTGTTCCAACAAATTGACTGTATTCCACATATTGGGATCCCGTGCAGGCTGTCCACTGCCTTGTGCTCTGTGCTTCCTGGGTCAGGCTCCAGAGTCAGTGTGCCCCAATATTACATAAGTTCACAATAAAGACTGATGGCCATATATTATGCTGTGCATGATTAGAAGACAAGGCTACATACCACCCCCACAATACATACAAATTAAAAGTTTGCTAAAAGTTTGCCTTACCTTCAGCAATGACTTTAGCAATCAACTGAAAAATATCTTTATTCTCTTGTGCCATCGCTTAATTATATGCTAACTTAACATTCAAACACAGCTGAACATTCAATCAACTTCTAAATAACACCTCCTGTTTTCGTAGCGGTCATGTTAATAAGTGAGGCTTATCAGACTAAAACATAACCGGCAGTGCACTCCCCCAGCCCTGCCCCACAAAAAGGGCTATGAAAACATAGACACAGGCACAATAAACAGTTCCTCATGCAGGTACTTAAATGCTACACAACATTAAACTTACACGATATCATTTTTGTATGGCTGTTCACTGTGCAGTCTTAAACACAAACAATTTCCTCAGCGATAATAAACGCTTTCTGATTTTGACTGTGACAGCTACAATTAGCAAGTGACAATTTAATTCGGAGCAAAGACGTCAACGGATCTTAAAGCGAATGAAAAAAGACGTGTGAAAGATTATAATGCAAAGGTAATCCAGTATTTGAATTCATGAAGACCATAACAAACAATTGCCAGGAATGATATGTGCCAAAAGAATTACAGTCATGACTGATACCAACATAGCAACATGAAACAGTGTGTTTCATGACGAGGGTGAGACCATACAACCTTGAACACTAGTACTGTTAACTCTGTTAACTAGAGTTAACTCCAGTCGGGTGACCTGCTATACTTACTGTCAAACTGAAGGTCTTCCTCGTCTTCCTTCGGTAATTCAAAGACGCTTCCACTGAATCTCCTGTTTTTGTAGCCTACATTCCTGCGAAATAGTATGCGGTCGTTACTCGAACTTTCCTCAGTCGATTTGCCTTCACTGCTCGACATAATCTCGGTTAACTAACAACCGACGTTCAACGAAATGCTGGGTAGCTAAGCTAAATTTAGCCAAGTAGGTAGGTCGGGTTCAGTTAGATTTAAAAAGAAAATAACATACTGTACGGTTTATTTTTAAACATTCACTCTCCAGCCATTGTTAAGTTTCGTAAATTTTAACGGTAAAGTTAAGTACAGTTTACGTCGGATTCAAACTTGCATTTCACATGCAGCTACCTCATTGTAGGCAGCATTATACTCGTTACTAGTATGAAATATACAGTAAGGGTGTGTGTAGAACTTACATTAAAAAAAACGTAAAACGGGACTCTTTTTAAATTAGTGCTTTACTTGAAAATGATACTGGTTAACAACCTATTTAATTCAATTATTTAAGCTACGATTGTGATTCGAGTAGCTTT